CACTTGTTTGACGACGTGAATGTACAATGGCGACTCCGACGATGGAGGGCTTCGGCGTCCTTGGTGGCCTTCCTATGAGTGGTCAGATCCTCACGTCGCGCTCGGGTTCCAAGTCGTGCTGTATTCGGTTGACAAGGTGCAGGATCGGGAACCATCCCGAGTCTTCCTGTGACACCTGGTGGATTTCCGGTTATGTGCTGAGCTTCCACTATGTCTCAATGTTATGTTGCGACTCAGCAGCCTGAGCGTGTTGCACAAGGCCTTGTTGGACGCAGCAAGGCAACAAACTGAGCTGGTGTTTTGGATCGTGAGGACGGCTTGTGAAATGCCTAATGTCTACTGACGTCGACAGAAGCTGTTCCATGCTCGTCAGTTGATCAGGACTGTGCAAGAGCATGAAGGCCGAATCTCTTCACTGCAACTCGCTCGCATTTGCAACAACACATGTTTGCTCGCGCTCGAGGGTTTCTTGATATTTCTTGTGTATTCACCGGGACATCTTTGTCGGCTCGAGCGACCAAGGTCACGCCAACTTGCCGACCAGCTGAAGTTGGTGTCGGAGGCTTGCCGACATTTGCCGATGGCCACCACTGAGAAACGCTTTGTTGACAGCAGCATGCAGGATCGGAAGATTTTCAGGTCCTCAGCCACTCGAAAGTGGCCAGTTTCTCAAAGGTGCAGTGGAGCCCATTGGTCCACCAAGTCTCACTGCAATCAAGTGTTCTAAGGCCCTCTGGTGGCGTGGGATCTCGTGGGCTTAGCCGCGAAAGCTTCGTATCGCCTGGGGCTGAAGTATCAACACGAGCATGTGCCTGGATGGTAATTTCTTGAGAAGCTGTGACACAGTGTGAGCCCAGCCAGCCCCCTCCCTCGAGGAACGACGGCGGTGCAGTCCTGTCGCAGGTGGGCGTCTGGATTTAATGTTCGAACAAATAGCTTGAGACAGACACAGCTGCCAGGCAAGCCTGGCAGGCAGCCCACTGCACCACGAGGAGCGCGACAAGACCCAGATCGAAGAGAACTTGGATCTTCCGTTGGAAAGCCTGGGCCTAGACGGAGAGCCCGCGGAGCCTGCGGTCGGCTCCGCAGAGCCTGCGGAGCCTGGGGAAGATGCGGAGCCCGCCGAGCCGGCAGAGTCTGCGGAGCCCGTTGATGCTGCCACCGCTGAAGCCGAAGCAAGCGCACAGGGCCGTGCATCGCAGAGCCCCGATGACCGTGTCACCGGCAGCGCTGCTTCTGCAGAAGCTCCCTGGCTTCCATGCGAGAGCTGTGTGCTTCATACCCGTTCATCCTCTGCAGATTGTGAGAAGCAGTCTGTCTCATGATTGCCTAGTCTAGTCCCATCATGACTTGAATTGCCGAGGGTCGGCGGATGTCCTTTGCATCAGGCCTTCGTGCACGCTGCGCGGGAAGTCTTACATCGAATGATCGTGTGCTTGCCAGCTAAACATGGGAGGCGGTCGTCGTCGGTCTTCAGTCACCGGCCCGCTCCGGGTCGACGAAGCACTGGCGGCCAACGTTGTCACAGAGGAGTCGGGGTTGACTTGAACCGACATGAGCTCAGGATTGAAGACCCATCATTCCAACAGTGCCCGAGGAACGCTTGGCAGATCGCCTGGAAGAGCGCATTCAGCAGGTTTTGGCACAGGCCACCCGCGCCGAACAGTCGAGAACCCACATTGCTGGAAGACAGTAGCCTGCCTGGCTGATGCCTTGTTTTTGAGCTCGTATGGAATGTTGCGCTGCAGGACGTTGAAGCCCGTTTGGAGGAGCCGGTTTGCAATGTGGTTGGGTTTCACATTCCTGAACTGCCGTCAGCCAAACGTTAAGGACGTTAACTACCACACAGCATCAAGACCAGAATGCACCAGTTGGAGATACAGAACAGTTCTGGAGTGGGCCGTTTGATTTAGAAGAAATGTCTGGTGCAGGATGTGGCCCAGTTCGTTCAGGAAGAGCTTTACAGGTTTGTTCTTGGACCGGAGATGATGGAAAGGGTCAGGCACCATGCAGCGTTGACATGTCTCAGCATGGCTGAAGCACCTGAAGTTTCCAGAGTCGCGGTTCACCAGACAATTTGCAGGCACGAATGCTCCTCCGTCATATCGATGGAACTTGCCATAGCATTGGCTGCACAAGACAAGAAGGTGGAGGACAAGCACCGTGCTCCACATGATGTCATGCTGTCGCGCGGCTTCTAAATGCAGAAGTCGGGTCGGACATGTCAGGAGCTGATCAGGTCAAGCCTCCTTGGCCCCCTCACACGTCTGGAGTCCTTGCCTGGCCAGCAGAAGCCTTGGCCAAGGGCATCAGTGCATCGTCCCTAAAGTAGGAAGACACAGAGTCTGTGCTCTGCTCTTTTTCAGGGATGTGACAGACGACCTCGCCAGGCCAGGCCGTCGCTTGGCACACCACGTCAAAAAATGCCCCTCTCCTCCCTCGCGCGGCAGGCGGCTGAAGCTTACAGAGGACCTTGTCGGTGAGCTGAAGGCGATACGAGAGTCGCATGTCTGGACAAGAAGATGTGTTCTCTTCTCTGCCAGGGACTTCGCCTGCAAGTTCCAGATATGCGCAGGGCGCCGAGTAGACTGTGCAGAGTTGCATCTTCCAGCATAGGTAACCAAAATGTCTTGAGCGTTGCAGGCAACGAGCTCACTAACCTCCAGTCATCCCTGATGGCAACCGCCATGGCCTTCGACTGTGAGGATTTTGGGGAAGGCGACATCTCTTCCCCGTTTTGCTGTAGGTACATACTGTCGAGGACCTGGAGGCACGTGTTGCAAGCAAGGTGGATTCTGGCATGCAGCAACTGCAATGCTGCAGGTCAGGCAGCAAGAGTTGGCTGCTGCAGGAAAGCAAAGCGAGACAGGTACCTCGAATCTTAAGTTGTTTACTAATCACTTTCGTGAGGAGCCCATCGCTTGTCCCCAGTGTCGCCGCACCGCTCATCCCCATCGCGGACCGAAGCCGTCGAAGAAGAGGAAGGCGGGGCTTGAAAAGAGAGGCATTATTACCGTGGTTGCATGCTGGTTGTTGGCCCTACCAGCATGCTCTCCAAAGGTCTGGGTGTCGACAACCTGGGAGAGGACTCAGACTTAAGTTGCCTGCAAGCTCTGAATCAATCGTCGTCCCCTGCCAGACCGCGCCCGAAGACACGAATGCCCCTTGTTTCCAAGCGGCCCCCGGCTGCAGCGCCTTGGCTGGCGGTATCCTGCTGAGGCTCCATCGCCTGTGCCGGAGTCGCGGCAGCCGTCACGACAACCATCCCGACAGCCATCGGCACCAAGCTCGCAAGAGTTCGCAGGATTTGCGGTTTAGGCTATCGCTGATGCCTGGCAGCATCGAGGTCGTAGCATCGCCGGATGACATGAAGTCAGGGGCTTAGTGAGAGAATGAGATTGCGGAGCAGCCACACATTGCATGTAGCTGAGGCCGAAGAGAAGGCACACGTTGCAGATGCCTCTGATGGTGAAGTGTCCTAGCAATTAAACAGACCTGTAGGCCAGTCTGATGGTAAGCGCGAACCATCGCCTTGGTACGGACACGCCGTGCTTTGGAGGTTGAGCGACATGCTTGGTCTCTACATGGCGCCGGCTGCCAGACCGCAGGCGCTCGGCTCGGCGCATCTAAGGGCAGGTGCATCATTGTGCAGCCTGTGCTTGTTGTCAAGACAGGCTGTAGATGACTCGCAAGTGCAGGACTGCGCCGCATGGAGCTTGAAGCTGTGGAATACGCCTCGCAAACCTTGACCAGGAACTGGTAGCACGCACAGAGAGTATGCGAACAAGACTGGAACAGATGGAGCAGCTCAGACCTCAGATTCCGAATGCCTTACTCGAAGGAAGAGTGCTGGGCCGCCGCTGCCTACGGTGAGGATTGTTGGCACCGAGCAGGCTGCAGTGACCAGTCGAAGACACAGCCTTCAGGTGGGCCTACTGTGCATCTGCTTTGGACACGGTGCCGTCATGAGAGTCTCGTATCCCGCTGCAAGAACAAGCTGAATGACGTCGACACTCTCGTGCGCGACTTCCCGTCCAGTTTGACAGCATACAGATGCCAAAGCATGCGGAACTGTAGCCGTGATGCCGAGGCGGCGATCCTTGAAGATCGCATGCGCGAGCTCGATACGGAGTTTCGAACGAGCAAGCAGCATGTCCAATCACAGCCTGAATCTTAGAGGTGGCAATACGCTCCAGTTTGCAGCACGGGAATCAGTTCTTTACCTGAGGCTGGATGTTCTCATGACAGCTCACGAAACTCAGCATGCTGAGGAGAGCTTCTTCTGTTGCAAGTTTCGAGCCGCCTGTCATGTGGGCTAGGATCTCAAGCACAACAAGACTTGGAACTTGGCCAATCAGGTGCCACAGCCATTCCCCACAGAGAGTCAGTGACCGGCAGTGCCATTTTCAGGTTGTAGTGTTGGTTGTTGCCACACTTCGGAAGATGGAGATATGTGCATGTTGTGCTTTGGCTTGCAGCCGCGCTTGGTGGTTTTGCGCCTAAGTACATGGCCACACAGACAACACTTCTAGATTCTAGACCAGAACTTCTAAACTGAACTTACAAAAGCTCCAAGATATATTTTTGCGTTTGTAGCATTCGAGTGTCTTCCTACACGCCACAAATGGCGGCGGCTCTGCTTTCTGCAGGTGTGGCTCCTTACAGCTGTTGTTCTCTGATTGTTCATTTCCAGAAGTTTCTGTGCTCAAGGGATCCGCCGGCCGCTGTGTCAGCTACGTCGGCCCATTCAGGAGTGGCTGTTGACACCTGTGCCTTATGTTTAAAGACTGCAGGAGACTGTTTGTTTGTCAGGCTAGTCAGCGCTGCTTCTTTGCCGGGATCGCAGAGAGTGAAGATTGCTGGCAGACCATCCACTCCCATGTCTCGCCAAGGGCGAGTCTTTTGGGGGGAGTTCCTCCAGCACGTCTTGGCCAACAGTTGCACTTGTGGGGGTCCCGGATGAAGATGCATGAAGCATGCACCGAGCACGACAGTGTCAGGTAGGCGGTGCTGCCGCTGCGGCAGTTGCAGCGGTCAGCTGGTGGGCCTGGCGTCCCAAAATCTGCTTGTGGAAGGGTTCGCGGTTTGCTTGAAGTCTAATGTCGTCAGGCATGGGTCAAGCCTGGAAAAACCATCGAAATCGACATCAAGCCCATCACTGACGAGGTCGGGCCGGTGGGCTGGTCTCTGGCGATGTTCTCACGAGTCAAAATCGGAGTCGAAAGGCGTGGTTCGGTCGGGTGGGGTGCACTGTCCCAGCAGTCCTTGGGAAGTCAAGGCGATCCGTTGCTGCCTGCTTGCTTTTTAGCCGAGCTCGAAAGCTACGACAAGCGTGGGAAATCACCCTCTATCTCTGCTTTGAGGATTCAGGCCTTGCCATGCATGATTTTCGAGCCATCAATACTGGGTGCCTCAACGCAATGGGGTTTTCATATCAGGCTCTCCCAGCTATTGCTCTTTTTTGGCTTGGTGTTTGCTTGCGTGGGTAGGATGTGCCAGCCGTCCTTCTCTGTAGGACTTAGTTTTAGGGTTTGCCTGGCCCACTTTTGAGGATCCACAGTCCTGCAGCTCTTGTTCCTTCTCAGCTGTCTTCCGTGCGGTGTTCCTTTCCTGTTTCTCTTGCTCCCTCTGGGGTATAGGGTTGGCCATGCGTCACTATTTGTGAGTTTGGGCCTGAAGCCTGAAGTCCATTGGTTGGGTTGTTGCGCGCCGCCACGAGATTGGCAAGCTGGTCACCCTTTCCAGGGTGCCTCCGACTTGAGGTTTTAACGGTATCGAAGCATTGGTGTCGTCTGGGTGCAGAACCTGCTTGCTGTCACGCTGGTGTCCACCTCACTGAGTGTTAGGGTTAGGGCATGGGGCTTGCCTTCTTTTGTCTCCTCCTATTCCCGGCTTATTAGATGCCACCCCTCCTTCTCAGGGTTTGGGGTCTCACCATTGAGGGAGTCGAGGAACTGTTTCGGTCAAGCTGTCGCTAATTTAAGCTTCTCTGTTTCGGGTTTAGTTCCATTTTGTCAACTTGGTGGATGGCAGCCATGGCTCTCTTTCGGGTATAGTAAGGCTTGAAACGCCTCTGTAGGTCCTTTGCACCCATACGCTTGGATGCCATTTCCGTTTTCTGACGATGCGTGGCTTGTTGACTGGCAGCTGCAGTCCTTTCAGAGCTGACCTTTTGCACTGCTGTGGGATTTTGAAGGCCATTCATTCTGTCAGATCGGTCTTCGCTCTTCTGTCGTCATAAGGAGCCATGGCTCCTAGGCGACACGCCTGGCCTGTTTGGGTTCGTGACTTGCATCTGTTTCGCGAGACCGCCCTTTTTGCTTTGCAGAAAAGTGAGGCTCCGAAGCTCCCGAAGACTTGAGCTTCGGAGCTTCGCTGGTGCTTCAAACCCTACAGATGTCCCGTGCTGGGGGCTTTCAAAGTACCCTGTAAGCGCTTATGATTTGCTGAGCTCCTGAAGACTCAAGCTTCAGAGCTTCGGAAGGACGATTCCTGAACCACCCCTAGCCTGCAATCCTTGTTTCAGCAATCATTCCTTCAGTGTGATTGTCTAGCGTCCTGCACATCTTGGAATTTGCACAAGGCCTGTCAGTTTTTCTTCTGCATTTGTCGATGTCGCCTCCACACTCGCCCTCACCCTTATAAACAAGCAATCTGGACAAGCAAGAAGTGTCTGCAGAGGTTCCGGGTCCGAGGGTCAGGGCATGGGTGAAATCCTCGTTTCATCGGTTACGATTTACGAGGTTTTTGACGAGAACGACAACCTCTTCGTGTTCTATGTAGACAAGGCTTGCGATTCTTCTTGTTGCTGTTGAATGCTCGTGGCTAGCAGGAAATGTGTTTGCATCGCAAGGCCGACGATCTTACAGAGCGCCGTGACGTCCCGAGCAGCAGCCACTGCTGCAAAAAGTCTTTCGTGTCTGTTGCATGAGGCGGAGATATCCAGAGGGTCGTTCGAGCACTCATTGATGAAGCCGCGTTGAAGAAGCTCAAGTGCCCCTTGCTTCTCCGATGAAAAACGTCGCTCACACTAGTGTTCCTCTGGTTGCAGCAAGTGAAGGTAGGGCGCTTGTTGCTGTCGGGCTAGCTACCCTAGGCAGCACAAGTCTTCGATCACCAGCATATCATCCCGCGAGTATTCCTGGCTTCTGTCTGATCACTATCCCGGGTTGCTCGCTCATGGCTGTTGTGGCTTCGGCATTTGGAAGGTCTGGACAATGGGCTCCAAGGCGTTCTGAAAAGGGTAGGAAAGCGCCTTCTCAGAAACATCGAAACGCCTTCCAGCCAATGCTTTGCAGACGACAGAAGCAAGTCAGAAGCGATGAAAGCATGAACGAGAGAGGCAAGTGGCAGAAAGCAACGAGGCGAACATCAGGGTGCATTCATCGGATACAGCCAGATAGACTGTCCAGGTGGGGGCACATCAAATCGCCTAAGCCAGAGAAAGGCACATGTGAATTTAAGCCTCCTACTCGCAGCATCTGCAGGTACTACCAGAATGTTCGAAAAGAAGGCTCGCGACGGCACGAACGGCAGCTGATCAAAGAATAGTTTTTCACCGCTTGGCTAGGTGATCCGCCCCTTCCGAAAGTGGGCTACGAGCTCAACTTCGCTTTTTGCGAGTCCTGCGAGAGAGAGTGCGAGAGAGAGATGCCCTGGCGAAAGAAAGAGAGATAAAGAGAGAGCGGATCATCGGACAGGCGAAGAGGAACCAAAAGAGGCAGGTGCGGCACCACTCCGAATTGCCGAGAGCCTGGTGTATCTCTAACTGCGGATGTGGTGGCAAGCGATGTATTTGTCGTTTGGGTTGGTGCGTGAGATGGAATCTCAGCACATGAAGATTCCAGGTCATGTACAAAGGACAGCGTAAGTCTGTGCCTTGTCCCAACCGCAGCCACCCATGTCGGTGTGCGTGAAGCCGGCTTAGGTCGATATTGCACATTGGTGATGAGATCCCAAAGCAGGAGGCTCCAGTCGTGTGAAGAGAGCCCAGAGATCAGCGCAGGGTGCTGTGCACAAACAGGTTTTGGACTTTTTCAAGCCAGTCTCCCAGGATCTCGGCAAGCTCAAGGCACCTGAGAAAGTCTTTTTCGGTAGTTTAGTTTCTGTGCGCTGGCCACGGCTGGCCGTGTCAGGTGCCGAAATCGGTGCCTCTCGTCTCAAACGAGTCCTTCCGGAAGGAGCTCATGGCTTTCAGCTCGCGATTTGCTGCAGCTTCTCTCACGGTGTGCTTGTGAACTGACAGTTCCAGGATGTTCTGGAAGACAGCCAACCAGGAAACCCCATGGTGTTGTTACAGATGTACGAGGACTGCTGACACTGCCTCAGTTTCGTGCGACCAAACTTGACCCTGTAGCCACAGGACACCTGCTTCCTTTGTTTTTTGATGAGACCTTTCATTAACTCTCTGGCCGGGACCCTACTGCAGGCGCTATTCCTTGCTTGGACGGTTGCCTCAATCGATCTCAGGGTGAGCTTCTGCTGGAGGACAAGGTGCCAGTCTTCTTGTAGCTGTTCAGTGCTGTTCTGGTAGTGAAGCGATGGCCGCGATGCTAACTTCATGTTGTCCCATGCGGCGGGAGGCACCTTTCCGCTTGAAGAGGCCCTGCACAGAGAAAAGAGTCTGTGCAAAGAAGCATCGTGCTTGCTGTTCACCGTAAACACTGCTTGTTGAGGTTAAACATTGAAAAGAACGATTTTCCCGATGGCTGTCCAGTTGCAAGAGGCGCTAGTGACACGTGTGCGTGCGGGGCTTCGCAGGGGTTCTTCACTTTCGAGAGGCACTCCGACCTTTGCCTTGTTTCGGGGCAAAGACACTGTCGGCGAGAAGTGGGAGGACGTTTGAGAGCAAAGGTTGATCCGGAGCTCTGTTGTGTCATATGTCATGCGAGGAGTTCAAACCCAAGGACCTTTGTGAAAAGATCGCGAAGGCCGTAAAACACAGTTTGCAAATGTCCGTGCAATGGATCTTGCTCACTGGTTCATGGGCAGGTCTTTCCACTCTCCGATTCAGCCGTTGTCTTAAAATTTCCTGCGACGTCCTGCCGGACATGCCAAAAAGAGCATGAAGGCCTTCCAGAAAATGGATGATCTGCAAGCAATGGTTCCGTACCGTCCTCAGAACAATCGGTGACATGTGGCCCTTGCAAGATCTGATGGCATGCAAGGAGACGATTCCAGCTCTTTACACAGCTGGTCATGTGGTCGGTTGAGCTGCAGAAGCTGGAGCCTCCTCCTTGGGGAAGGCATTGGGCGTCAGGCAACACTCGCATCTGAGGTCCCAGCCTTGCTTGACTGCACGGACATCTTTTGAGTCTGAGGTCATGCATAGCCAGCGCAGTCGGAGAATCGCACAGCGACGCGTCGAGCCTCGGCTGACCCCAAGGAGGGAGGTCTCCATGCTCATGCGCATGAAAACGAGTTCCACAGGTCTTCCGAGGACACTGAGTTCAACTCCGTCCTGTCCAGGCTGATGGCAAGGGACATGAGGCTGAAGCTGACATGTGTAGGCGGCTAGGTTCTGCCTTGACAATTTGCTGAAATAGTGCAGGCGCATCGATGGACTGCCAGACAGCGTGAACTTCCTGCAGCATCAAGTGGACGAGGTGCAGCTTGCCCACCTTTGCAAAAACAAGCAAGGTTTCGACTTGCGCTGAGGTAGAGCACGATGCTCTGGTGATGAGCATCATGCTGGGCGAAAGGGTCCTCTTCCCAGACATTGCGTTTCAAGCGCTACTGTACATGTTCAGGGGCTTTGTCCACAGGTAATGGCCCGGGAGAAGGAGGAGGAGGCAGCGTCTGTCTTGCTGCTGGCACGATTTTGCTTTCAAAGCTTTCGCCAGGTACTGCTTGAGCGGAGAAGCAAGTGATCGAGAAAGAACACTCAGACACCGCTGACTGCTCGCAGTACCAGCTGACGAACTTAGCACGCTGCCGTTAGTGTTTTCCGCCTTTGGAGCGCAGTTTGGCGACCTTGAAGGCTTCGGAAACAGAGATCTTGTTCCAATGCAAGCCTCGCAAGCTTCAGGGCTTCCGGGACGAGGGCAGCGTGAAGTGCGCAGGTCGACGTTATCTTGAGCGTCGTCAACAATGAAATGAGGCATGCAAGTGTAGATGAGCTGCGGCTTGGAGTCGGTGTTACTGAAAGGTCGGTGCGGAGCGAGTTTGACAAAAAGTTGAACGCAGCAGTGCTCTCCAACATTGACGTGCGCGATCAGGCACGAGGTGTTCACTTCTTCCACGCACGTTTCCAGACTTGCCAGCATCCTGACAACAACTCGTCGAGGAGAAACTCCTCGCTTTGTCAGACACCCTGGGCCGTCTGCGGTGCTACCCTCAGTAATGTCCATGGCGTTCATGTAAGGAGCGGCGATGGGCTAGCTGCAAAAGACACACAGGACATTCTGACATTCTGCATCGCATGCGTTGAGGAACCTTCGTAGAATGGGACATCTGGGCAGGAGATAGAGGACAAGCTGAAGAGGTTGCAGGACAGCCAACAGCAGAGTCTGGAGCCTTGAGCGGATCCGCAAAGACGAGAGGGGGAAGTGTTTTCTGAGCTTCGCTTCTCCGAGGCATGTTGAAGATCGCGGGCCTCCGGTCAGCTCACAAGCACGCCGAGGGTCAGGCCTCACGGAACTGATCCGAATTTCTTGCCTGTTCCGGTGAAGGACTGTGCCGCATGACACCTTGATGTACTGGTCCACTGAACTTCTCTGACCGTACTTGCTGTGATGCATGCCTTCAAGCCAGATGGCATTTTGAGCAAGGGGGTCCGACGGGGTGGGAAATGTGTGCTGCCTGGCTTCAGGACTTCCTGGTTTCCTGAACCTGGCTTCCGTTCTTGCTCTTTTCTCGTCTTTCGTTTGAAGCTTTCAGGGTTTCAACGGTCAAAGCGCAGCAGCTTTTCGTTCGAGGGGTTCAGACATGTCAGCTTCAGGAGCATTGCAGATGAAAGTGGTAACCGACGTATGGGAATCAGAGAGTCTGAGAGGAAGGCTCCAGGAGACTCTGAACAGGCATTCAATGGCATTCAGCCGCCTCTGGATGAAGTTGATTCTGTTGGAGCAGATCAGGTCTTGGGAAGACTTGTGCGGATAATTCGACACTTGTTCAATAAGGTGCCAGTCGGACAGCTTTTAATTTAAGATGCAAAAGGAATGCATGGGGCAAGAATGCGCAGTTGTGTTGGTTCCAGAACAAGAGATCAGAAGTGCAAGTTGTGATGGCGAGGGGCTAGGCCGAAGAAGGCAACCGACACCTTGCTGAGACTACTCGGATCTTGGGGGGTAGTTGCAGAGCTTGAGACGGAACCATGGCAGCAAAGTAGGAACTGCGAGAGGCACTGCAGAACAGCGCCACGACATGTTGCTATCGCGTCATTCTGGCTCATAGTAGTCATAGTAGCTGAAAGAACAGGCAGGAGCCACGGGCATGGGCAGGGAGAGGGAGGAGACTGAAGGGAGGCGAAAGTGCCGAAACGGGAGGCACTAAAAGGCAGTAAAAGCTGAAAGCAGGCAGTAGAGGGCAGAGCGAGAGAGGGAGACGGAGAGGGGGGCAGTAAAGGCCAGCAGACGGAGACGGAGACAAGCCTTTCAGGGGCAGTACAGGGCAGGGGGAGAGTGGGAAACAGAGAGCGGGGCAGTGAAGGCCAGTAAAGGGCAGAGAAGGGAAGGGGAGACGGAGACGGAGAGGGAGGGGGGGCAGTAAAGGAAAGAGAGGGTAGAGCGGGAGCCACGTCTGAGTCTTTTTTGTGTGCCAAACAGTTGCAACGGTGGCTCCAGGCAGGGCACAACAGGTAAACTCATGCCAGGCCAACTTCGCAGTTGAGAGGCTGAAGCGTCTGCAGACGGAGGTCCGAAGCACTCAAGCACTCAGCGGGTGTGTCAGGTGGCATGACATCTCATGTTGGAATTGCAGGATCCCAGTGATCGCAATGTCAGGTCAGCAACATCGTAGATCAGGCTCTTGCCGCTGTGGTGCTGTAAGTGTGCTTCGGTGTGCTATGGGGATGCGAGCCTCCAACGGATATCGCCACAGGTGGTCTATCAGCAGTCTCGACTGGACTACCTTCTGGTGCTCTTGGCCTCAGACACCAGTGCGAACAGTGACAAGCAGTGCAGACATCATCTGAGTGAAACTGAGTTATCCGAGGCATGGAGCTGCTTTGAACCAGGGAGCAGATTCGGGCAAGCCGCGCAGTTACATGTGCAGCTTACACCATGACATGTGCACTGCTACTAGGCTCTTTCCAAGCCATCGTGTCTGCCGGGGCGGACAAAGACAAGAAGCCCAAGTTGAAGGTTGAACATGTCTGCAAAAACAGTTCCGTCAGCTGTCAGTCATTCCGTGACAGGCTGGAGCCACATTGCCATCGAGGCTTCCGTGCCAGGTATATTTCGTATTGTCGACATCCAGCAACGATGTCTTGGGATTGAAACGAACCGCCATACCTTCTGGGGATATCGGGGCGGATGCAGACCCAGAGACGCTTCCATGAGCATCCAAGCAGCCAGGCAGATGGAGCGCACAGGGCAGCAGGACACGAGTGGAGGTGGAGATCCCGGGCACATGCCCGACTCATCGGCAGTCTCCCCAGAATCATCGGATTCCCGTCGTTGTAAAGTGACTTCGGCATTTGCAGAGGACGAAGTGAACTCCTCGCGCATTGCTCGCTTGGGCAAGAAGCTCCTGGAACTCGACGGTCAGGCCCGGTCGATAGGATTAGGGCGGTTACGGTTTAGGGTTCAAGACTGCGCAAGACTGCTCTCTGAGATCTTGATGAGAATGTAACCCAGTGGACAGATCCAAACCCCATGGCTTCTTCCAACACCAAGATCCAAACTTTACCATCCATGTTGTTCCAAAGACCATCACTTCGGGAGGGAGCAAGCATGGGTACGGAGAGTCAGGTTTCCCGGTCCATCAGACCTTTCAGGTCAGGGGTTCGCAAACTCTGAAGCTGCCAGTGTTGTAGGTCAATCGAGGAATGGCGGAGGTCAAGGCAGACATCGAGGCACTTCATCGATTCTGTCCAGCATGTGTGGGCTAACGTAGTGTTGTCAGAGCCAGCTGGCATGGCGGCATTTTGGATGTTCAGTTCCAAATTCGCGTGCCCTTGGCTTATGCTGGGCAGTCTGTCAACCAGACGTTGCTCTCGTTTCTGGAACTCCTTCCGCGGAGACTGCGGAGGCACGGCTGCTTGGTGCTGTGTTTTCCGAGATTTGTTCCGGCTGTCAGCCAATGTGGACGCAGGATGCTGCAGAAACAGCTGTTTCCAGATCCGGAGGAGACTGCAGCATTAACGTGCCTTAAATGCAGCTGCCAGCTGACGGAAAGCCAAGGAGGAGGTGGAAATTGTAAAGACTGCTTGAGACCCAGAGGTGCAGTCCTCCAACCCAGAGCCAGGGCTGTGTTGGATTCAGGAAAGGCCACACGAGAGCAAGAAGCACGTCAACTTTTCAGATCACGTGGAGCCCAGCCCTCGTTTGATCAGTGGATCTTGGGAGGTCGACCGGATATGTTGCGGGGCCAAGGACGCGCACTTACCACGTCGAAGATGATAGCCGGCTGCCCTGGCAGTTAGTCGGTGAGGCAGACATCAAGCAAGAGACTCGGTCAATGCCTTCATGCAGGGCACAGGTCTGGAATTCGACACAGTCGTGCAGCAGGGACGACGTTTCTAGCCAATCGGCAAAGCGATTGTCCGTTCCGACAAGAAAAATCTTGCGCAGTTGCAAAAGGCACTCAACACTTACTCAAAGACACAACACGCCTGTATGAAGGGCAACTGCGAGGTTGCAACATGGGACTTGGAGGACCACGGCACTGTCCAATCAAAATATAATATAGACACACAGGAACATGCACCAACTAAACAGCTGGACTTACTGTAAGTAGACCCAGGGTCCAGTGAAATGAAGGCGTGAGCATGCAGCATGTGCGATCATGATGATGACTATGGTATATTGTATATTGCAATAACTCCACTCTCCTTCCAATGTTAGTACTACCGTTCATGTGAAGCATGTAGTTGCAGCATCAGTACAGGTTGCGTGTACAACCAACATGGGATGAAAACATCACTCAATCAGCAGTTCAGGGCATTGTTGGCCTGCTGAACTTGCGTACTGTCGCATCTGAGTGACAGCCCTAGCGAGTTTCGCGCGGTGTTTTCCCTTTCAGAACTTGAAAGACTCGTGTCAGTGGGAGAGACCAAACTTGTTCTTTCTCGGGAAGGCGTCCGAATGAGGGTGCATGCTTGCATGGTCTGCATATGCCGAGAGTCATTGACCGACCACGCTTGCGGCCTTTGTCGTCGTTGTCTTTGTGATCATGGTTGCACTTGCTGTCCTTACTGTTCTATCCTGATTATTCTTATTCGTCCTCTGATAAGCCAGTTTGTTGGTTTTTCTGTTATAACATGACATGATGCAAGTCGACCACGATGCATCCTGTTTGCAGATTATCTACGGATTATCACATCTTTTTGAGGTGGAGTTGGTGCTACAAACCCAGAGACGAGATGGGCAGAGATCTTGCCATGTGCCTGCAGCAGTCCCTCTGGCTGGTTATGGCATGTTATGTCAATCCGGCGTGTCTGCAGAAGGATGTTTCTGCCAGGTTCGACAGCGATCGCGAAGAATTTGAAACCAAAGTGGTGCAGCGCCAGCCCAAAGAACAGAAAAGTTTCGCACCTATTTCGAACCACTCTGAGAGTTCGCGCGTATCACCTGAGGTGGCTGCAAGGCGGAGGAATCGGGGTTGGCAGCCTTCCAGTTCGGAGCTCGATGGCCGCTTGGCATCGATGGTTCAGACTGGCGGATTCAAGCTTCTCACCCGTGCCGGCAGGCGGTGTCAAGCTTTCGGGACTCTCTTTCCCTGGATGGCCTCATGAGCATGAGCATGGGGATGGGAGGTCTAGAGGAAGGAGTTGGCAACTCAGCTTTTGCTACTGCATCTCGAAGCTGTGGCTTGTGGCCCGGGATGCCTTCAACGCTTTGGAGGTCGCAGCACCTCAGCTGATGCACTTTGAAGAGCGCCTCGAGAGGCACCGGGAGACAGCTCGACAGTGCGATAGTGAGATCTCAGCCCCGAGAGGCTTGGCACCGAGCTCTTCAACATCAAGAGGGTGCAGGAAGATGCAAAAGTGCTAAATCCATGGAGAGGAAACTAGTGAGCTAGCAAGTGTGTGAAGGACGTGGACCACGTGCGGAAGGTTGATAAGGAAGATCTTCAGCTGGTGGTCTCGCAAGCTGCCCAGTGGTCGGCCCCGCCTTGTGCCTTGCTCCAGGGCTTTGCCATGCTCCGTCTGAGGCGACTGGGGGCCATTGAGAAGCTGAACATTCCAGGCGCCTTGTACTCTGTCCAAAGGGGGCAAAAAGAAGGAACGAGCTTGCGCAAAGCAAAGCAGTGCCGACATGTTTGAAAGTCGCCGCAGATCTGAAGATCCGCATCGAGGCTCTCGAGGTGGTCCCAAGGGGGTTCACGTATTTCTCTGGGGTCCGGGGAGAGGAAAGCTTTCGTGCTTTCTCAGGGTGACACCAAGTTCAGTGCGCAGAATGTAACGGAGCTCAGGGAAAAGGTCTTCAAGGCTGGTTGGCTGATGTTGGCTGATGGTTGCGTGTCGACTCTGCGCTGGGGACCTTTGCCTCTGCTGCCATTCCGCAGGTCGAATCCGTAGCTGCTCCGCGCTCGGAGCTGACAAAGGCGCTGGGCACAGTGGCAGTTTATCTGGGCCGTTGCTGGTGGTTGCACCCACCAATCCTTCTGCAGGTGCAGAATGGGTTTGAGCAGCTCATGTCCGACCATCAAGCCATGAAGGCGCCCAGTGTTCAAGGAACGACAAGCATGTAAGCCTTTGATTCCTATTGAGGTCGAGCTCAAGGAAGCTTCGGCTGGTAGCTTAGACTTTGCTCAACACAGTTTGTCCAACACTGCCCGCTACTTCGTGCCGTCACACAGAGGCATCGATGTACAATTCCAATCGCAAGTTCATCCACGAACTTCAGGAGGCATCCGTGCGTGCTTGTGCTTGATCTTGGGGCCAACATACCTACGGCTGATACTGTAGCTTCTCAATTTCGCAAGCACGAGAAAATCGAGCATAAACGGCATTCCACAGCGGCGTTGCTGTGGAATGGCACAGAGATGATGCACAAATTTGAACACTCCTACGGGCGGAGCAATACTTTCTGCGTGTCTGCACTCCGTTCGCAATCTGCAGTTTAGCTGCAAACTTCGTTCTGCACTTTGTGAAACTGGAGCCGGTTTGTACGTCCATCAACTATCGCCTTTCGTATAAGAAAAAGCACATCGGCGATGAGGTGAAAACCACCACGCAGAACTCGATCACGGTCCTCCATAAACAGAAGGCGCGAGTCTAGCGAAGACTGATCGGATAGTTTGGTGTTTTGCACCATTCTGCCATCTCGTCTTTCTCGTTGACAGGTCGAGATTCCCGATCTCGCGGCAGTTACGGACAAGGTCCATGATCCTGCTGCTGTTGACCACGGAGGCTGAGGTGCTTTTGGATGTTGGTCTCTCGAAGGTTGTTAAGCTCGAGCAGTCGATCAAAGACAACCGGCGCATTCTTGGAGACGGCGGTGGTCAGGACAAAATAGCCAGTCGTGGTAAAGTGTGCTCGTCTTTTCGATCTGGTCTTCAGCAAGGGCCATAACTCTCAGGAGATCAATGCGGTTGTCAGACGCATCATTCTGAATCTTGAGGCCTGTCATGCCGCTCGTTTTTGGGCAGTACGGCTCCATATAGCAATCCATGATGTGTGTCGGGAGAGGACAAGATCATGGTTTTGGAAAAGAAGATCGATGCCTTAGCCGATGGACGTCCTCAGAAGGTCGCGCAAAGTTGTTGAATTGCGGAGCAGCTGCGAGACAGAGTACACTGCAGGACATGATGCCTCGGAATGAATCGCCGGCCCACAAGCACACCGGCAGCTTTCAGTCTTCTGAGATGCAGGAGGCCAGTGCTAATGGATCTGTAACTTCCTTTCCGATGGGCGGGCAGCTGGCGCCTCCTCGTGATTCACTCAAGCTTCCGAGGCGGCTCTGCACTCTGTGAGTGAGGAGCTGACGGCGATGACAGATGCAACTTTGCTGCACTGCGATAGCTGATAGCTGCTAGACTGTTGCCTGGTTTCACTGCTGGTAGAAATCACCTTAGTACTGTGATTTTTTGTCTTGTCTAGAACTATCGCTATTGTTGGCATTCCATGCATAAGGGGCTGAAGTGACCATGCTTGTGTGGGTTGGGATGGGATGCTCCTTTTAGCACGGGCCCGATTTAAGAATTGAGGGTCCGTGCCGCGTTCTCTCGCGCTGTGCTTCAGCGGCATGGTGCATGGGTACTATGGTTACTATGGGGTGCCGCGGGTAAAGCTGACCTCAGGATCCTCTCCACGATCCCGGCCGAAGCAACATCATGTTAGCGAGCTGCCACACACGCACATCCCGACTCCCATGCAGGCAGAACACATTGGTATGGCGACTAGCAAAGAGAAAGGGACCTAGGACACTTGCATGGACGAAGGCCCGTGGGCGGGGCAGCCAGCAGCAGCGAGATGGCACCGGCAGCTGGCAACGACCACATTCAAGATGTCGGCGGTCATTGACCAGAGCGACGACAGCGAGTTCATGCCCGAAGGCTTGGCCACAGCAGATCGCTGGTACCAGATGTGCATGATGGTGATGGGTCCCTCAGAAAATGAAGGTTGCACTGGCAGATCTCGGCCTTGAACAAGAGGGTCAGAACTCGGACTCGCCGCCAGTACGGGACCTGTCGGTGCGGCAACCCTGCGGCCGAAAGTCATTGAGGGCGACGAAGACTTGAGCTCAGTGACTGGTGGCTCCCTGCACCGGGCGACGCTTCAGTTGCGACGCTCACCAATTGTACCCGTCGGCTTGGCATCACAGCGTGCTGGCGGACACGAAGGTACGCGGTGAGAAGTGGGCGAGGATAAGGCTCAAGATCTCAGCAGCCATGGCCGCAGGAAAACCGTCCCCCGACCGCAGGGATTCGACGAGCCGGTGGATTGCCTCCTTGCAACTCGTTCGGGGAGGAGCAGGTGCGATCGTTGGCGAAGTTTTGGGCATGACTACGGTCGGGAGCGTCTGTTCGCAAGACGACAGTTGGTTGAGCCGGGACCAATGACGGCGAACTGGAGCGAGCCATCAACGAAAGGGAAGGCCAGCAGCCAGCTGCGCACGTGGCGCTTCCTCCACTTTTACAGTGATGCCCAGGACCTGTCAGGCGATGCCATTGGTGGGCCATGATCCTCGACCAGGAGCTGCGCAGGCAGATTTTCAGGAAGCTGGGCGCGCACCGCGACAGCCGGGCTTCCGGGCTCCCGTCCAAGATTAAGGAGCAGCAGAAGGAGGCCCAACGGGGCATGTTCATGGCATGCCAGGCCTTCGAAAAGCGAGTACTCCGGCCGCACGGACGACAGTCTCATTGTCCAATTTTCGAATGTAGATCTGCGGTTTGATCACTGTCCCCGATTCGAACACCACAATTTAAGCACCTTCTCTTAAAGCGCCGCACCGGTTCGAGCCCCGCCGACCCGAGCGCCAAACCTGAGCTGTAGAGTTTTGGGTAGGGGTGCAGACAATTCAGGTTTAGAGTGCCGGCGCCCCAATCTGGCGCTGTCGCTGCGCGTATTCGCAATAGTAAAGCCGATCTTCGTGCCCGAAATCGCCAAGGCAGAGCACGATCTTTTGGTCGCAAGTTCGTACCCCCAGTGCACGAGACCCCGATGTAGGAACCTTCAGTTTGGTGCGTGAATCCGGTGTTTCCAGTGCGCGACTCGGTCTTCAAGTGCGCGTCCGGTGCGGGCTCACAGCAACAGAAACCCTGCCATCCCGCCCAAATCCGGGTCTCTGCAATGGTTTGTATGGAGCACGAATGCCATTCACAGTTCTTAGCAATTTTTCTCTAGCACTGCATCGGGAACATTTTGACAAAATGGGAGGTCGGGCAATCTGGATCTAGAAAGTAAAACATCCAACGGCCCGCAGCACATTCCGGTACAGTAGATTTTGGGGAGGAGGGGGGCAAGCATGTAAATGTTCTTTCATTTCAATATGTATTCATATGTACATATGTGTAAGAGAAACTTGTGTTAAGTTTTCTTTAGTCTTTTGCACAGATAGCACAGTTTTAAAAGGTGCTTTGTCACTTTGCGGTTGGCCCCCAAATAGTGGGATTTGCTTCCCTTTTTTTGCTAAACTTACATAATTTGCGTATGTAACTAGCAGACTCAACTTGTGTAAATGGCTCAAGGGGTCAAGTCAGTCCAGTGCGTGCTAACGATTTCCAGCAAATTGAACAATTCAGAAATGTGTATAAGTTCATGACCCTTGGATGGAGAATCCAGCTGTGAATTACAATGAAATTGCATGGATACAGGTTTGAGCCTGGAATTCGGAAAAATATTTGCGGAATGCCTTCCGGTCTTGCCTGAGAGGAATCCGCGCAGGAACATTGTTTGCAAACGCCTCCCATACTCGCTTAAGTTTTCATGGGTAATTTCTTTGCCATGCATCGTGATGGGACCAGATCAATGCAGCTATTGATCTTCATTGCTCCGGTAGCAGCACATGTACAGAAATCCAATCGGTCTAGCCTTGTAGTTTTCTACATCGAACCGGTTGTTTTGTAGAAGCTACATAGTTTGCTTGCTTAATGGTTCGTTGAGACAGTAAGAATTGGTGTCTGAATTCAGACGCTTAAACTGTATGCAACGGAGTTTCACCATGATTCACCATGCATGTGATCTTGTAGCATGAGAAAGTAGCCAGCCAAGGGCCAAAGGTCCGAAATGTGTGTTGGTTTGAATTTGCGAATGAGGGGATCGATTCATCTTTGGTCTGTCGTTCAGAAGTCTCAATCCATTAAACGCCGGTCGTCGAAGACTCCCAAACATCGCAACAGCTCCACGCCGGAAGCAGGAGGGTGGGACTTCGCGGAATCAGATTCTGACATCGACGAAACACTTTGGCTTGCCAGGAAAAAGGCTGATTCATTGTCATTCGTTGTCGAAGCCCAGAAGAATCGTCTCACAAGGTTAGCGGTTCACCAACTCTGTTGGTAGGTAGGCCGATTTTCATTCACCTGGGCACAATATGTTTTGAGGGCGGTCCGGCTTTCAGCACTGGAGGCTGTGGCCAAGCTGAAGCAAGACATCTCCGTCAGCAAGGCAGGTCGGCCAGCATGACCCGACTTGCAGATAGCGCAGTCCGGGTTCCTTGTTTCGGGTGCTGATGGGGACCATCTTGCCGATGAAATCGACACCCTCGCCCCGAGGTGTGACAGTTGTGGTTTGAGGCATGTTGGACTGTGACGTCATGTAGCTCAGATTCGACAGTGCCGGACACTGCCGCGAACCTGTGATAGCTCGAGCCAAGTGTGTGACAACAACAGAAGGCTGACGCTCGTGATCTCTTTATCCTTTGCAGCCCGACGTAGAGCCACGTATCGTGAAACTTGCTTCGTGTTGCCGGCGAGCTGTCGCTCGACATTGAAACTAATGTCAGAAGTTCTGTCGAGATTCAAGCTCGCCAGAACTCGGATGATCGTGGGCTGACTTGCCTGTGTCCACAAACCGGTAATCCTGTAAATGCATGGCAGGTTTGTTCCGTATTTGATAACTATTGCAAGAAGTGTTGAAGGGACACAATGTTCGATGCCCTATCCTTTTTGTGGGATCAGGGGCGCATGGGAGCCACAGCTGCTGCGGCAACTGCTGTGTGAGAGCACGGTCCGGAATAGCTTAGCACTTGGAGTTATCAGCCCACAGTCTCGACGTTTCAGCACGAGATGGCCGTAGCTGGCCAAAGGATGGGAATCTTATGCGTTTCTGGTTCGTGTCTTACGCCCGTCCGTGCAGGTGCACATCGATGAGATGGCAGAGCAGGCCTGACGTGCCGTAGCAGCTGTCAGCCTTCGGTGGCGATGTGTTCTTGTGGTTCCCCTTGTCCGCAGCCTGATGCAGTCAAGCAGACAAGCTCCATGCTGACATCATGTAACTTCCGGGGTTTGTGCAACAAAGGGGCTGCAATGCCGTGAAAGCGTTCCTTCCCACGCAGTCGAACTAGTTTGTTGCGAGTACTGGGATGTCACCCAAAGTGCACAGCCGTGTGCATCATCCGATGATGCCTTTCATTACAGGAAGGTGTCCTGGCATACCACGGCTTTCGGTATCAGGTTCTTGTTCCACAGTATTGTCACACGTGCTGTGGACCAAGGTCGGGGCGGTAATGCTTAGCCCCAACATGTCTACACCACAAGGGGGAAGGCCAGCAGTCGATTTCAACGAATGTAGAGCCTGCTTGGATCTGCTTGGCGGCGCAGGTCGGGAGACAAGCCGTCTCAAGCGAGACACATGAGGAACTCTTTCCTGCAGAGACTCGAGGCCCTGTCTCACAGACCTCAGACGGAGACCAACCGGGCAAGCTGCTCGCAGGCCATGTCACTTTCGTCATCGTCCGCGCCACAGGGCAGCAGGGGTGATGCAAGGGTAGCGTGGAGTGCAGGCTATTTGCCTTTCAGGCCGTTCCTCGACGATGGGCACCGAAGTTCGTTGCGAGACGTTGCAGTGCCCTTGAAGAGATCCAGCAGCAGCCGTTCGTGTGTTTACTGCTGTGCTGCGAGGTTGATACCGACAGCGACGGGAGAGAAGCTTCGGAAGGCCGGAGCTCCGTGCGATCCCTGAGGCAAAAGAGCTCTTGGCTCTTGCGTGGCAGGCGACACGACGCAGCACATGTCCAGGCAGAGCTTCCGCATTCCCTGGGCCACGAAAAGACCCCACTTTGTGGCTTCAGGTTCTCTGCAGTTCCTCGGCAGCCTCTTGTTGCGAATGCCACGGAGTCGCCGCGCGAGTGCAGACCCGAGGGGGAGCGGGCCACTGGATCCTGACACAGGATTCTGCAGGATGCTGCAACTTAGCACGTCCGCATGATCGGTGTTGGGTATATGTGCCACGCTCCGCTGCCCACGGCCGTTGGTTGCATCAAGCAGCGAAACAGACGTTGCGTCACAGCACGTAGCCAGCAGCTCGCTCTAGAGTTGTAGCAGGTGAACTTACTTCCCATGACAGATTTCCTCAGTTCGGGCTTGCCTGGTGAATGCCAAGCCATAGCCATGGAGGTTTTGGGAGCTTCTCCTTCTCAGGGGTCTTCCAACTTCCTGTCGACTGACGATGCCACCCGTGTGGGCTGGGCCTCCTTCAATTCCATTTCTGCTGGCCTGGCGGGTCTCGCCCTTGCGGGCCCAGTTGGAAGTTGCTTTGATGCATCTCAGACTATCCCAGACCTGGCTCGCTCGATCGCCGTGCTTGTGCCGAGGCGCACTTGGAATTTCCTCCTGGGTCTTATCTGATTCTAATGCTGCAGCGAGCGGCATTGTTGCAGTGGCTCACTTGCAGGAAGACTTCCCAAGGCAGTCTTATGCCGCCTTGGCTTTGTTTTCTTGAGGCCACAGGTGTGGTGATCTGCTTTGCTGGTGGCCACGTCCTCCTGGCAGCTGCCGGCGCTACGGGGGTCTGCTTGAACCTCGTGCAGAACGCCATCACGTCCCAAGAGGCGCCGCTAGCAGAATCTCACAGTCTCAGAATGTCACGCCATGTGGTGTTTTGGCAGGCGCCAGCAGAAGAGGAGGGCGAGACTCTCAGAGGAGTCTGCAAGCGACGGACGTCTTTCCGAACGAGCTATACTGCAGGTGCACTCGAGCGCGGTGCCAGGGAGATCCTGCGCGAAGAGCAGGAAAGCAAAGCTCCTGCAGTTTCTGGGTAGTCATGGTTCCCATGAGCTAAAGCAATTTCAGCTGAACGAAGGAGCTTGAAGCGGCGGAGGCTGCCGAAGCAGAGGAGGCGGAGCGATCTGCTTGGCCCTTTCGGAAGCGAGGGCAGACTGTTCCTGGTGCCCAGGAGAAGAAGATACAAAGCAAGCAAGCTTCATCATGTTGGGCTGGGATGTTTTCCTGCTTGTCCTGCACAGGTTTCACGGCTATCCGAACGTAGTAGGGCTGTGTTTACAGTCTTCAAGCCTTTGAAAGAGAGAGTCCGTTTAGCCGAGGATGTTTTCCTGCTGCGACGGACCGTGAAGCAGGACTTGAAGGGGAGCCCCTTCAAAGTCTGGACATAGCGAAGCGGCGCTTGATTCTGGAGAGCCGCCGGCATCTTCGGCACCTTGTCTTGTACGAAAATCTTTCTCCTTTGAGCGAGGGACCCTTCCCTCATCTTCCGAAAAGGGATCGGGATGAGTGAGGAAATGCTGGAGCCTCCGGGGCCAGGATTCGTTCAGCTGCATCGCAAGACTGCGAGCAACTAAGGCAGGAGGTCAACAGTGGGCTCAGCCCTTTGATCCTGTACGAAGCAACGAGTTTCACCGAAAGAAGAAAAATGGAGGCTTGCCAACGAGCTTCTTTGGTGCCTGCTCGCCCGATTCCCATAAACGCTCGTGGCACCTCTGTGGTGGCTGGGCGGCACCAGAATCAGTAGAGAACCAGACAAGCTCTTGCTCTCTTCCAAATGGGTTGCCAGCATCTACAGAGGTCAATAACAACTTCGTGGGCAAGTTGGTCATGATGCATCGTCAAGCAAACGGTGCTCCATCAGTCCCTAGCGCTTATGACGACTACTTCGCAAAGAAAACACGCCGCTGGGAGTTGCGGTTGCAGGGCAGGTTTGTACGCAAGCCGACTGGAAAGCTGTTCGGAGGAGTGCGGAGCTCAATTTGTGGAATGCATGTCTTTTCAACAGCTTGGAGCTTCAAGCGGGAGGCTTGCAGCAGACATGCGGATGCTTCCAGGTTGTTTTGAGGGACTTCGACTACAACACGCCTCTAAGCCGTTCCCGACCAGCATTTAGAGCTTGTCGCTTTGTCCGAACTGGCTTTGACACCCCTGCGATTTAGCTGAGGTTTTTCCGCGTGGTTGAGCACTCTCTCCATATCGCCTCTGGACCATAGCCCTAGCCACAAAAGCAGAAGCACAGCGGTGCAGTCCGAAGTGCCACGATGCGTTACATGTTCTCGGACACATGCAGGAATACACCATAGGGACAAAAGTTGTCCTCACTTTCGGCGACAGGGGAAAGGCACGGATTCTGAGAGACATGTCGTCTCCTCTCCAGAGAATCGGAGGTGTCGGAGCATCTGACAGGCATCGCTGAAAGAGGATGCCATGCTGAGCCATGTGGTCGCGGGGCTGCAGGTGCGAAATGAGCAGTCGTGCTGCACCAAAGCTGCATAAAGACCCTGGCAGGCGTTCGATCAGATCATCGTGACGGAGGCAGCCGACGAGCTGCCTGCCATCGACGGCAACTTAGATGGTCTGGGCATCCGAAGGCGGGAGTGCATCGAAATTCTCTGATAGCTTGTCTGTATCTGATACTTGTCGCACCGCTTTTCCCAGTGCATCAGGCACGTTGCGAGCAGTTCATCTTCCTGGGCTGCGGCTGCAGAGGAGATGTTTAGTCTCCTTACTACTCTGCAGTCACATCCAGCAGCTTGTAGACTTCATGCAGGACGTGGAATGCAACATCAATCCCGATCGCACCTACACCTTTTGCTTCTGGAGCGCTGCCAGATTTATCGATCTCATTGGCGTGTCTAGGCCGCAAAGAGTCGAAGAAGGGCATCGCAAATTCTGCCTGCCTTTTGCAGCAAGGGGGCCTTGACGGACCTTGTTCCGCTGATTCCAGCTTCGCTGCCTTTCAGAACCTTCTTGGATCATTGGCCACCTCACTTCGTGTTCTACGAACTTGAGTCAGACAGCGATGGTGCTTTCAAGCACATAGAACGCAAGAAGAGCTACCTGCTGGATCTGATGGTGCTCAATCCTCGGCTGCCCCAGAATCAGAACTTGGCAAGAAAGTATTATTTCGCCACAGCTTAGTGCTTGTATTGGAGAAGTGGAGTGCATGTTTACAGGAGCGACTCATTGCAAAGTACTCGGTGAGTCAGTCAGGGAGTCCAGGGGCAACAACGCCTTCCCCTGTACAGCTCTGAATAGTCTCCGAATCAATGTTCTTGTGCTTCGCAGTTGCAGTGCCTGACTTTTCGTGCCTTCTTCACAGTTTGATCCTGTGTGATCACAGATTGATCCTCGCGCACCTGCGAAAGACTGTGTCGTGGCTCTGCTGCGTGGAAAACGGGGAGTGAAGGGTGCTCCAGGAAGGTTTTTTCTACAGGCACGATCGCAGCTTGCCGAGAAGGCCTAAGACACCAAAGATGGCTCTGTCGTGGACACAGAGCTGAGGTTTCCGCAGGGGTCAGTTTCAGATGCCTTTGGAGGCCTGACATCCGTAGGTATGCGCAGCGAGCATCAGTGTATGCTTCTTGCTTGGCAGATCTCGACCCTTGTCTACCGTCCGCACGCCGCCCGCGGCCTCTCGTCGCTGCCACAGCAGATTCCTCGGAGTTTGACTGCCTTGGATCCGGGAAAACCCAGGAGATCTCCGAGGGTCCCATCCGCATGGGACACAAGGCAAGGAACGCTGATGGCTGGGTCTCGGAACACATATGCAATTCTTTGGTTTGGAATGTCCAACACTGCAGGTGCAAGGATCGCCCAGCGAGCTCTCCACGGCTCCCACGGCCCATGAGGCCTCCAAGACTGTTGCAGTGAATGCAGCTTTGAACCAAGAGATGCAAGGATAGCGCCCCGCATGATTGCGTCGAGCAAGGACCGTGTTTCACGGCAAAGGGTGGTGCGGTGATCCGGGCGTGCGAAAGAGAGACAGGTAGTCTTTGACCCCTTCGGCCTAGACCCTGCAGAAAGAAAGAGCCAAAGCTGTGCACGAGTGGCAGGGGACATTGGAGACTTCCCGGCGCCGATGCGCTATGTTCGTTCACTCTTTTTTCAATTGCAACCAACTTCTGGCCTCGGTTGACAGGGGCATGATGCAAACTGCCGCTTTCGCAGACCTGTGCAGGGGGCGAGGGGCTCCCATTGCTCTGGTTGTTGGGCCAGAAGAGTACAGAAAGCAAGAGCGACCTTAAGACACAAGAGAAAACAGAACACCGGGATACGAGCATAACATGGAATTGTGTGAGTCAGAATACAAAGCATCGGCATCGACCTGCGTGAAGGAGCAACGGCGGCGCGCCACATCGGCTCGCCTGTAGGCTGGACAGCATGACATGTTACACTCGCATCCCATCAAGATCATGTTGAAACGGTCTGAGTTGACGCTCGGTAGGAAGTGTTGCGCTGGCTTCAGCAGAGTTGGATGCCGACAGCGCAGGTGCCTGATGAGAAGCTCTCTGTAGGTCAGTCCGTACATATAGAAGATGCCAGCATCTTCAACTTTTGATGCATGATGCATTGGAAGGCGAAAGCTGTGCAGCCGCGGTCCGAGCATCTCCGGAGGGGGGAATTCTCCAGACTCGAGACTTTGCAAGAACAGACAGCGGAGGCGTTTCGGAAGCGAGCTTCGTCATCTCACATCCCAAGAGGTGCCCTCGGAGTGATTGCACGCTTCGAAGGGCAGCTTTTCTTGTGCCTAGGCCCTCCAGGAGGGCAAGAGGATGCGCACAACGAGACGGTGGGGGGACTGCAGGAGCGCTTGAAGGTGGAGCGCTGAGAGCCGGGTGCGCTGGGCTGTGTAGGTGTCCTTTCACTGTTGCAACGTGTCGCAAAGCACAGCCGGTCAGCCAGAAAGGTCCTCTTGGAACTCGCTGGCCGATCATGGAACGGCATGTCAATGCCACAGGCACTGGCACATGGCCCAGAAACATCTGGCTGCCTTCTCGTTCCGTTTGCGGAGGCATCCATTGAAGAGCCTGAGACGGACTTGCTTCAAGTGACGGGTCTCCCACTCAGAGCGATGTGAAAGCAGGCGCATTCTGGTTTAGATTCGAAAGTCTCAGGTCGAGCGCGTCGCCTTTGGAAGGCTGTGGAGTCTTCCGAGGCCCGGGTGCGGAGCCTGGAGGCCGCAGTGATGCGCAGTGATGCGCAGTGCAGTGTTGCAAGAAGCGCGCTCCTTTTTTGTCGACTCCTGGAGAAGGCGCAGCTACAGAAGCTTGAGGCCAAGGAGGGCGGAGAGCGGAGAGCACCCGAGCTTCTGGTTTCTGGCAGCTGGTGACGGGATTAGGTCAACATCGAGCTCCTCCGCAGCTGTGCTGGCGTTCCGGAACCCAGCCCCGAGAGGTCACGAATTCACAAGCGGACTCGCCTGCTTGAGGCCGATCGAGCAAGAGGAATCTCTTCAAGCTTCTCAGGTCCGGACGGTTTTGATCAACTGATTCCCGGACACCCCCAGGTGTTGTGCATTTCTATCGGCAAAATTGTCGGCCTCCACTCCTGTCGTAGGAAGTGCTGGCAGGGTTCTCTTTGTGAAGTGTCTGTTTAGACGAACAAATCAGTAAGGGCACACCGCTCCGATCACCCGGC